AAACTTTGAGTTCATTCTTGGGTTAAAAACAACTCCAACTGTGATTGTAACATTTTTTTGTGCTATAGTGTATTTATGGGGGTTTATTGTGTTTAGGGGACATGTTATACGATTGAACATGAACATGTTCCATCGTATAACATGTCACGCAAACGTTAAAAACGTAAAATATTGTTTTTTCTACGTATGAAATGCCTTTCCTAATTATTTTTTTTAATTTTTTTTTAATTTTGAATGTAAGGGCGACAAGTTATACGATCAAACATGTTATACATGTTTGATCGTATAACTCGTCACTTTATAATTAAAAAAGTAAAATTTAGTTTTCATACTATAAAAAATGACTTTTTCTACCATACTTTGTACTTTTGCCATTTTTCGATGATAGAGCGACAAGTTATACGCTTAAACATGAAACATTAAAATATGTTCGATTGTATAACTTGTCACCTTAAAATTAAAAAACATCAAAAATAATTTAAGTACGTACAAAATGGCTTTATCGACCTTGTTCTTCACTTTTGCCATTTTTCGATGACAGGGCGACAAGTTATACGATCAAAAATGAAACATTGAAACATGTTTGATCGTATAACATGTCTCTTTTCTCACTAAACATTGATTTCTGACATTTTACAAAAGTGTTACTAATGGTGTTTGTAACGCAAACACAAAGTTCGCCAACGACAGATGTTTGTGTGAAATTAGGCGGTTGTAAACAAAGTTTTGTCGAAATATACAAACTTAAATTAGCATTCGTAAACAAACATGATTGGCGACCGTAATTGTTTGTAAGGGGTGTTAAATAGACAAGATGATTGGGTTTGTAATCAAATTAAGGAGGTGATGCAGAGGTTTTTTGCAGGGTTTTTTGAAATTTCAAAAAAAAATTAAAATTTTGCTTCCTAAATAAAGTTCTTGCTATCTTTTGATTCTTAAAGAAAGTTTTTGCCATTTTATAATTTGTAAAGAAAGTTCTTGCCATTTTTTGTTTTGTAAAGAAAGTTTTTGCCATTTGTTCTATTATAAAGCATTTTTACAGTTTTGCAGCCTGCAGGTGACAATTTATACGATAAATTCCAAAACCTTTCATTTTTTGTTTTGTAATGTAAGTTTTGGCTTCTTTTGAACTAAAATTAAAATTTTTTAGAATTTTTAAACATTATAAGTACCAAAAACCAAAAAAAAACTTTTAAAACGTCAGCTGGACTATAACGTGTAAACCGCCAGATTCCTTCGCCATTTTTTCGAATTTTCCCTCCAACAACAATATGTCGACGAAACTGGCTCGGATCCAGTGACGTTTCAGCGACAAAAGCCGGCTTTTGAGTTTATTTTGACCGCACGACGTCATGACGTGACGTTGTTGTGGTCAGTCGGCTACATGTCAATCGCCAAATGCGATTTGTCGAGTATAATATGGGGGCTTTGAGTGGGATCACGGCGCTGGGTGCATGTGATCTGGGTTTATATGTAATGGTTTAGGTAATAGTAGGTCATAGTTAGATTAGAAATGACATTTTGATCACCTTCAACTGCGTATGAGGTCAAAAATGGTACTAAAATGGTACTATTAACCTAAAAACAGCCGTTTTTGAAAGATTTTTTAAAATTTTTTTTATGTTACAGTAGACTAAAAGCCCTAAAATTACCTAAAACAACATTTCTGATCAGCCGTAGAACCACAAAGACCATTAAACCATTTTTCAAAAATAAAAAAAATTACAAAAATTTATGGAAGATTTTCAGTGCAAATTACATTGAAAATCTTTCGTCTTTTTTCAGCAACTTTTGTAAAACATAAAAAATGCGTTTTTAGGTAATAAAACGTAAAAAAATTACAATTTTGGCATTTTTGGATTTGGAAAGAAAGTTTTCGTAATTTTTTTTGTGGGAGAGACTTGTACCGTCTGCGGATGACAAGTTATGCGATGATAAACATGTTATGTTTTTTAAACAAAGTTTTGGTCATTTTTTGATTTGTAAAGCAACTTCTTGCCATTTCATGTCTTGTAAAGAAAGTTCTTGCTATTTTTTGTCTCGTGAAGAAAGTTTTTGCCATTTGTTTTAAAACAAGCTATTTTACAGTTTCGCAGGCTGCAGGTGACAAGTTATACGACGATAAAGTAAAATACGACTTTTACCACCTCTTTTGATAAAATTCACTTGAAAATCATCTGAAATCCATAATTCTTGGTGCATTTTGCGATTTCCAAATCAATGCTTTTACTGCCTTCACAGCTAATTTATTGACATAGCCGTTGAGCGGTGATTTCTGGGTAAAAACAATATTTCCCACGTAGTTTCGACGTTTTTTAAACTATAATTTACTATGTTTTTAAACGGCTTTTATGGATTTTTAACTATAGACCATTTTTATGACACTTTGACTGCTGTTTTGACAACATTACAATCGGCGTGGGTTTTGGGGGTTGGACATATTTGGGCTGGTTAAAGGGGGTGCACTGACCATTATAAGTCACAATACGCTGTTTTTTGCCTTTTTTAAATAGACCATTGATCGTTAGGGTTAATTGCTTTATGTTTTTAAGGTTGTCTTGGCATGATTTTTAAAAATTTTAGGTATTTTTAAAAATTTGAGTTGTAAAGAAAGTTTTTGCGGTTTTGAAAAATTATTTTAATTTTGAAGCTTTGAATTGATAACAACAATTGCTATTGTAAAATACGTTTTGAAACTAAATTCGGTCAAAATTCTACTACTAGTTCAACAATTATGGCACTTTTTTAAAAAATTTTTACTAAAATCAGCTTGGTCCCCCTGTTGTTTTTTTTAAATTATCTAAACTTTGAAATTTTGAGTTGATAACAAATATTATCATTGTAAAATACGAAGCTTGTTTTAATTTTGTTAAAGTTTTACTTTTGTTATAATAGTTATGGCACTTTTCTTTTGAATTTTCATTATAAATCAGCTTGGTCCCCCCTGTGGATTTTATTGGAAAATTGGTCGATAAAACAATTTTTACTAGTTTCAATGTAAAGCTTTTTTGCTTTTTATGATATGTCAAAATCAGTATTACCTATTTTAACACAAAAATTTTAAAATTTCAAAAAAAAAATTTTTTTTAATTTTAGTTTTTTTAAATCTTTTTGGTTAAATAGACTAAAAATTAAATTTTTAAGATTTATAACTCATTAAAATTAATTTTTATTACCAAGCACTGCCTCAAAATCAATTTCTACATCATAAAACACTAATAAAAGGCTATTTTTCCTGAGGCATTTCGTAATTTTCTCAAATTTAAAAACTATCTGTGACTGCAAAATTGTGGTCACAAATCAGAAAAGACGTTTCCGGCTCATCAAAAACTACAAACTAGGTTGCTGAGAACGGTGGAAGGGCGTTCCAACAGTTTGCATCTAATTGGCTTGGTACCTACTTTAATACCTAATTTAAAGTACATAAACTTTTCGACCATTTAAAAGCGCAGTAACGCTTAGTTTGGGCTTTTAAGAGCTTGCTTTGGTATTTTTGATGATTTGCAAGAACTTAGTTTTCAAAAAAAATTTTTTGAAATTTTATTTCGCTGTTCAAAAATTGTGAGCCATTATCTTCTATAATTTGCATTGAGGTGTAGCTCAGAGTTATTTGAACAGTATAAAACTGTTAAAACTTGCGGTTTACTTTCCAAATTTTGTGATTTCAACATACGAATAGACGAGGTAACACTTCGTTTCGTGTAAAGTAAATCGTGTTTAAACTATTACTCGTTTTTTGATCACCATTTCGTAATGGCGCTTTAATTTAATTTTTAAATTTCACAAATTTTCATGTTTAACTTTATTTTATAATGGTATGAGCATATGTTGGGGCTTTTAGTAATATCATGAGGTTTAAAATTGCTTATTTAATCTATTTTAAAAAATTTTTTTTTGATTTTTTTGGTGTAAAGAAAGTTCTTGCGGTTTTTGATCTTATTAAAATTTTTTTTTATAATCGAATTATGATTTGACTCTAATCTTGAGATATTAGCTTTCATTTCATAAGTTTTGGTCATCTGTCTAATAAGTTATGGCACTTTGAAATTTGTTTTTGAAGAAAAAATCAGCTTGGTCCCCCCTTATGGATTTTTTTCAAAAAATTACAATTAAGAAATTTCTGAGCGTATTTTACAATTTTTAAAACTGAGTTGTGTAGAATAGTTCATTGTTACATATTAAGGTCAAGTCAAAAAAGTTATGTCACATTTTTCAAAAAAAATCAGCTTGCCCTGTAAATTTTTTTCAAAAAATTTATGCAAGAAAATGTTTGACGTAATTTACAATTTTTAAAATTGCATTTGATCGAATAACTCATTTTTAGGTTGTGAAGTCAATATTAGCGTATAAAGTCTCAATTCAAAAAAGTTATGTCACTTTTTCCAAAAAAATCAGCTTGGTCCCCCCCCTGTGGATTTTTTTGCAAAATCCTAAAAGTTTTCTTTGTTTTCGGCGTATTTTACAATTTTCAAAACTGAGTTGCGTAAAGTAGTTCATTGTTACATTCTAAAGTCAATATTAGCTTCTAATGTCACAGGTCATAAAAGTTATGTCATATTATCTAAAAAAATCAGCTTGGTCCCCCCTGTGAATTTTTTTTTGAAAAAATTAAAAGTAAGAAATGTTTTGCCGTATTTTTTGAAAATTGTATTGTGTAGGGTAGTGAACAAGTACAGTTGACAGTTAATATTAGCTTGTAATGTCTCAAGTCAAAAAAGTTATGTCACTTTGTAAAAAAAAATCAGCTTGGTCCCCCTGTGGATTTTTTTTCAAAATCAAAAACTTTTTCACCAAAATTTTTTTGAATTTCAATTTTATATTGCCTATTTATGTCTATTCTCACCATAAACACATTTCCCCAACACCATGTAACCTTCGACGCTTCTGACTTTCACTGCCGATATTATTCATGACTTTAATCCACCCGAAACGCATGATTTTTTCAGGAAATTCGCAATACTGAACCGAATTCACAAACAGACCCACTGAACGAACCGAAGATGGGTTTAAAATCCGAACGCAAAGACTTTCCGCTAAAACACTGCGACTACGAGATGGCGTTCCAGCGCAGTATGAAGAATGATGTGTCGCGGTGAGTTTGATCGCTTGAACTGTTAGTTATTAGGGTTTTTGGATGTGAAAAACATCTGAAAATGCTGCAGATGGTAAAAATTTGCATATTTTACAATTTTCTACAAGATCGAGGTCGGAAATGAAAAAACGAAAATTTATGAAAAAAGACAAAAGATTTGCAGTGCAAATTACATTAGGAATCTTTCATCAACTTTTGTAAAATTTTGTAAAAACAAAAACAGCATTTTTTTGGTAATATAAGGATAAAGTGGCACAAATTTTTAAAATTTAAGTTTTGGAAAGCAAGTTCTTGCCATTTGTGTCAAAAAAAGCTGGTTTACGGTTTTGCAGTGCGGGTGACAAGTTATACGATAAAAAGCTTTTTGTTTTGTAAAGAAAGTTCTTGCCATTTTCTGTTTTGTAAAAAAAGTTCTTGCAATTTTTATTTTCAAAATTTCAAAAATATTGTTTTAGCCGAGCAGAACGCACCCTGATCCTGGTCTCCCTTCTAACCATGTTCTTCATCATTGCCGAGCTGGTCGGTGGCTACCTAGCCCACTCGTTGGCCATCGTATCCGACGCCTTCCATATGATCTCCGATCTGGGCAGCTTCTTGATCTCAATCACTGCCATTCATTTGGCGAGGAAAAAACCCACCGCCCGCTACTCGTACGGCTTCCAACGGACCGAAGTCCTGGGGGCGTTGACTTCGATTTTGATCATTTGGGTACTTACTGGAGTACTGATCTACATGGCTGTGGAGAGGATATTGACCAACGATCTGGAAGTTGAGGTAGGGATTGGGAAAAGGGCTATAGGGTTAAACATAGGGTTAAAAGTGTCATAACATAAGAGTAAAAGAGCTGTAACTCAAGATTAAAGTGTTTTAACTTAAGGGTAAAAGCGGAAAAATACATAAAAATAGTTTAAAATAACAATAGTGGCATCACTTTATTGTTTCTTAACAAAAAATGTTCAAAACTCGAAAAATCATGTTTTCGTGGTGGAACCTAAAAAATCAAGAATTGGTTATAAATGTAATTTTAAGAACAAAGACAATTTAAAACACCAAAATAAGTAGTATTTTAACATTTTTTATTTTAAAAACGCCAAAAAATGACAAATAATGTTTTCGTGGTGGGACCTAAAAAAGCATGATAAAAGTAGACACTTCAACTTTTAGTGATATGTCTTGTTAAAATATGTCTTTAAAATGTAAAATACGGATTAAAAAATAATTTTTTTCTAATTTCAGGCTGATACCATGATGATAACTGCCGGAATCGGAGTAATCTTCAATATTGTCATGGGCGCTTGCTTGCATTTTGGCAAAACCGGCCATTCACACTTTGGAATGTCACATTCCCATCATGGTATGCTTTTTTATATAAATTTTCATAGAAACTGCCATTTTTAAAAAAAAATTTTTGCAATTTTGTTTTAAATTTTTAAAATTTCTAAATTCAAAAAAATGTCAAATTTTGCCAAAGGATGGCATTTAATACCTAAAATATTATAAATAATCGTCACCAGTGCAAATGTGCGTATTTTACCTTCAAAACTCTTCAGGTCACGACCACTCCCACGGTCACGAGCACAAAATCTCCAACGTCGAGACCTTATCCGAAAAGACGATAAAGTCGGTTGACGAAGAGGCCCACCACCACTCCCACCATCATCACCACCAAGAGAACATCAACTTGAGAGCGGCGTTCGTCCACGTTTTGGGCGATTTGGTCCAATCGATGGGGGTTTTAGTGGCTGCCATTATTATCAAATTCACTGGATTCACATTGGCTGATCCTATTTGCACCTTCATGTTTGGGATTCTTGTTTTGGTAGGTTTTAATGGCGTTTTAAAATGGTTTTTAATTAAAAAAGGGTCATTTTTGACAATTTTCACAAAAAAATCATGGTATCTGAAGTTTAAACGCTCATAAAATGGCGGAAAATTAACATTTTTGGATGAAATTGACATTTTTAGATAGAGAAAACTCTAGATTTCCATTTTGTATAAATATCTTTATGTATTTTTGTCAATACACCCTTTAAGCAAGCCTAAAACAACAAATTTTCCAAAATTTCCTAATAAAAACAAAGCGCGCTTTCATAGTATATTGCGAAATTTCTCGCGCGATAATTATAAGCAACCAGGTTCGATTCCCATCGCGGAATATAGTAAAATACGGGGCATCTGAGTTATGAATGTTTAATAAAGTGGCATAATAATTATTTTAACGATTAAAAAAATAGTGAAAATAAGAATAAAGGTGTTTTGGTCGGTATCGTTGGCAATATTAATAAAAAACCTAAAAATTTGGTGAAAACATCTGTTTTTCAAGGGTTATTGATAGATTTTTTTGATGTAAAATACGCAATAAATTCCAGTTTTTGTAACCTTTTGTTTTTATATACCTTAAATATCCAAAAATCATTACCGATTAGCTAAAAAATTCCATAAATTCATCAAAAATTTAAAAATACCTCCTCCAACACCAAGTGTAATATATTTTTCTTTTTTCAGTTAACCACCCACGGCGTATTCAAAGACACAATCCTGGTGCTAATGGAAGCCACTCCACACCACGTTTCCATGACCAAAGTCGATGAAGACTTGACTTCCATCGACGGTGTGTACGGAGTTCATTCGCTTCGGATTTGGTCGTTAAAACTGGATTCGACCGCCATTTCGGTGCATTTGGACACTCAGCCTGGAGCGGATGTTAGTGCTATTGTGAGGCAAGCTCAGCACAAGCTTCAGCACGAGCATGGTATCGACTTTATCACTGTTCAAGCCCAGTGTTCGTTAAGCCATGCTAGTAGCGAGGTTCAACTGCTGGGAATGACTGTGTAAGAAGGGTTGAATATTGATGTTTTTGGTCGTTTTTATGGTGTATTAGGCTTAGTTTTAGTGTCATCAAAAAGATTTTTTGGTCTACATATTACTATAGCCTTTGTTACTCTTTGGTAGCCATTTTAAGTTACGTTTTATATCACTTCTTCCCAAAAATCGATGTTCACCTACATCAATATCTACTGTAATTGTGTCTTCTTGCCTATTCATGTACATTACCTTTAGTATTCTGATTGTAAATAGCTAAAGAATGCATTTAAAATGTGTTACCAAGCCTATTCGGGTAGCGGTTAGGTCATTATTTATATATAGCGTCATCTATCACATTATATTCTATCACAACATTGTAGTATGGTCCAAGCCAAAAGCTTGTTCTATATTGTATAAAATTGGTTTTTGACCGGTCAAAAAGTTTCTTCCATTTTCAAAATGAAAATTTAAATAGAAATTTCATTACGAAAATGGGAAAAACGTTTTCAACAGGTCTAAAATCAATTTTAACGTCACCGTTTGCCACAAAATTGTAAATATCTTTCCGAACTTGCTTTACACATCATTGTCAATGTATTATACTGTCTTTTCTTGATATTATCTTGCTTATATTATTCTTTATCTTGTATGTTTTGCTACTTCTTTTTTGGCTGTAATGTCTTCTTTTGTTCTTTTTTAGGTATTATTTCTTTTTCTTATTCTTCTTTAGGTATCATTTCTATTTCTTGTTCTTTTTGAGGTATTATTTCTACTTCTTTTTCTTCTTTATCTCTTACTTTTTTTCACTTTTCGTATCTAGGCCGTTTTTTCAATGTTTTCCTAACAAAACATATCATTTACCGGTGCAATAGTCTGCTTCGCATCCTCAGGATGTCATTTTGTGTTGTGCATTTTGTACAAAGTTATTACTCGACACAATAAATATATTTAAAAATAATGTTTTTGGGCCGTTTTTTTTTTGAGTTTTTCAAACCTGAAATTTTTAAAGAATTCTTCCATTTTAAATATGAATATACCCGTTTACTTTCCTGTACACTATAGAAATATATACCGACAGTTACCGCGACAAATGACACATAAGAGATATCACCGACATCAGCATGAAAAAGGAAAAACAAAATAAAGACTACTGTAGTTGTTTTACATTCGTGATACGAATACTGTAGTGTTTTTCGGCAAAAAAAACCTACTGTAACTCTAAAAGTTTAGTCTTGAGGCTTTTGAAACGCAACGAAAAACGCCATTATTTCATTGAAAATTTGTGAAAAATGTCATTTTCCATCAAAAATCAATGAAAAAACAGCATTTTTGATACAAAAACCAAATTTTGCGACAATATGTACAACATTAAATGTTATATTTGTGTCATAAGTAACTTTAAAAGCTACAAAATTAAAAATATTCGTATTTAATACCTAAAAGCTAGTTTTGTATCCATTAACTAGCTTTTTAGACTACTTCTAGTCTGTAAAAGTCAAAATAAGTTACAGTAACCACATGTTTTACAAGCACAAACTCCCTTATTTTTCAAAACGTTACAATAAACCCTACACAAAATTACAGTAACCAAAAAAAAGTAGAAAACCCAAAATTTGTGTTACAGTAATCATCCGTAACTAAAATATGCCCACAGTACCCACTTTTAACTAAAACACAAAAAATCATGTGTTACAGTAAACATCAACCCGCAAAACCTCTACAGTACTCTCGTTCGCAGACTATAGACTACAGTACACTTTAATCGACCAAAAGCTAGTTCATTTCCGGTCGACAAAGCGGAAAAAGTCAAAAAAAAGTAAAAACAATATAACAAAATAGAATAGAAATCAGTTGCATTCTTGTATGAACCGGGCCACCGTGCCGTGCGCTTCAATCCATCGGCCCTGGGGGTCTTGCGTCGCGGTACACACCTTGGACAGATTCGACTTCGAGTAGCGGGACGCGTTCGAGATGCTCGAGACATCTGACTTGTTGGTGATCGAGTTTCGAGAGCAGGAGCGGATCGACCGCGTGCTCAGGGTTTGTTGCGTTTGGGGGTGGAGTGAGATCTGAAAATCGAAAATTAAGACTTTGTAAAGAAAGTTCTTGCCATTTTTTGCTTTGTAAAGAAAGTCCTTGCTATTTTTTGCTTTGTAAAGAAAGTTCTTGCAATTTTTAGTTTTGGAAAGAAAGTTCTTGCCATTTTTCATTCTGTAAAGAAAGTTTTTGCTACTTTATGCTTTGTAAAGAAAGTTCTTGCCATTTCTATTCAAACAGGCTATTTTATGACTTTGCAGGCTGCAAGTGACAAATTATACGAGAAATTTCAAAAATTGTGGACATACGTTTTTTAAAAAAAAGTTATTGCCATTTTTTTGCAAAGTAGCTATATTGAAAAGCAAACTCCGTTAACCGTATTTTACCCAAAATCAACCCCCCCCCCTCTAAAACACAAATTCATTGCCATTCCCATTGGGAATCCCTTTCGTTTCATTTCGTGTTTCGCGAAACAAATTTTGTTTCGGAAACGAAACAAAAAAAATATTTCTCAACCCGAAAACCAACAAATGTTAAAAATATTTGGCATTCTGTTTTATACTGTTGAAAATTGTTTTTATTTTAATTTTAAACATATTTTGGCATAAACAAATGTCGAAAAGGTCGAAATACAATCCTTTTTTTAACGAAGGAGTCTGTATAACATGTAAGGCAAAAGTGCAAAACACAACAAATCATTCCTCAACTAGCTCTTTCCGGCACCATTTAATACAGAAACACCCGGACGTATGAAAAGAAATTGTAGCGGACGGGGCAGCAGCAAAGAAAGAGCATAATATTCTGGATAATGTAAGTCTTTCGAAACAAGTATTTCGGTTTATAGGAAAGATTACATTCTTTTTGTAATAAAGCACATCAAAATTCGACAGCAAGGACTGTTTTGACTGACTGTCGAAGAACCATGACAAGTGAGATGCTTCAGAACTTGTTATTCCTTAAGGTTAATACCCATTTACGGCATAAAATTTGATTTTTATGAAGATTTTTTAATAAAGTCGTAACTTTTGTTTCGTTTCGTGTTTCGTTTCGTTTCGCGCGAAAATAATTTACTTTCGTTTCGTGTTTCGCAAAACAAATTTTTTTTGTTTCGCCCAGCCCTGATTCCCAATACCACCTACCGTATCATCGCTGGTGAGTTGAGACTCTGGGGTTTCGATGAAAGAGATAGTGTCGTCTTCTTCGCTTCCGTAGCCCGAAGACTGTCGTCGGTCCACTTCCTTCATCAGTGAGCATATTAACCTAGCCTGTTTCGTGTAGGTGACCATGAGTTTGGTGTAGAGATCGTCCGCCAGGGACATTGCACTCGACTGGTCGCTGTTTATCGAGGTTTCCAGCTCTTCGGCCTTCAGTAGAACACTGTCGTCTGGGAAGTTGAGGAAGAATTCGGGGATTTCCTCGTCGATATTGGATCTGAAATGGAAAAATTTAAAAAATTTTGTCATTTTTAAAATTGTAAACAAATTTCTTGTGATTTGTGACAAAACTGGTTGCTTTAGAGCTTCGCAGAAAGCGGAGGACAAGTTATACAATAATTTTTTTTGTAAAGAAAGTTCTTGCCATTTTATGTTTTGTAAAGAAAGTTCTTGTCATTTTTTGTTTTGTAAAGAAAGTTCTTGCCATTTTATGCTTTGTAAAGAAAATTCTTGGCATTTTTATCAATAAATTGCTGTGCAAGCAGCAAATGCCATTTTATACGGTAATTTTCAAAACTTCTCAATTTTTATTCTGTAAAGAAAGTTATTACGATTTTTTAATTAATAAACAAAATTTTTGTCAAAACTGATCAATTATCCGTATTTTACCTAAAATCTCCACGTGAGTCTCACTAAAACCTCCAACTTTCAAAAAACTTGTTACCTAAAAATTTAAAAAAAAACCTACTCATTTGAGCTGAAATAAGTGCAATCAGCCACTCTTCTCGTCAATAACAATTCATTCGTTTTTTCGTCAGCAATTGTTATGTATTCATAGTTCACGCCGATTCGTAAATGTACCATGGGATTCTGGGAGAATAGTCGTTTCGTTGCTCCGAAAATCGAATTCGGTGGCATTCTATCAGTTGCACCATAAAAGAAAGTCGCTCTGAAATCAAAAAGTTTTATTTTTAAAGAGTATTGAGTGCCGTACCGTGTAACAGGCCGAAACTTTAGTCAAAAGAAGATCACATAATGAGTTATTAAGAATGTGAGAGATTAGGTAAAAAGAAGAAAAGAGATATGTAAAAGAGTAAAATATAGTTATTTTTTATACATTGTAACTACTATGCCTGTCTGCTAAGGCTAAGCCTCATAAGCCTAGTGAACCTATGTTTACTACGCCTCGGCCTACTACGTATAAGCTTACTAAAACTAAGCCTACTATCCCTAAACCTAATACGTCTAAGACTACTCAACCTAATCCTCCTACGCCAAAGACTACAAAACCTAAACCTACTCGCCCTAAGCCTACCAAACCTAAGCCTACTAAACCTAAGTTTAAAGATACTAATCCTAAGCCCAAATCTAAAATACTACCCTATTGAAGCTTAACTACGTATAAGCCAATTAATACTACTACACCAGAGACGTCGCTACGAATTTTATCTGTCTTACCCCGATCTACCCCAAAAACATTTCAAAAAAAATCTTACCCATAGCAAGGAGAGTCCCTACAAACTTCCAGAAACTCTTTTCTTCGCTCATAATTCGAACTTTTTTCCAGTGCTTCTTTGTAGTAATGTAAGATCTCCTTTTCACATCCCTTCCGACATTCCATCCAGCCGAATAACATAAAGGTCTTGCACTTGTTCAGTAGATATTCGGGTACGTACAGGCTTAGATTGTCGCTGAAATTCATATTTTATTTTGCAGTCGCAATGCAACGTATTTTACTTTAACGATTTGAATAAAAACAAAATTTTAAAATTATTTTGATTTTTTAAATTTTGAATGCTATTTTTAAAATTAAAAAAATCAAAATTTTAAAATTACCTCAAGTAATCCAGCGCTTTTTGATCATTCGTATAGAAACCCTGATCAATGGCCATCATGTAGCCGGCCAGTTTTTTGCTGTCCTCCAAGGTCACAATGTATCGACCGCTGAGGTACTCGTCTTTCGCGTCGTCGTACAGGATTTCAGTCAATTCTTCGTTTTCTGTGTACTAAAATTGAGACTTTATTACTTTGAATTAAATAAAAATGTCAAAAAATGTTTAGGTTCAACAAAAAATGACAAGAACTTTCTTTACAATACAAAAAATGTTTTCCAGCGTATAACTTATCACCCACAGTCTGCAAATTCAAAAAAAGCATTTTCGGTAGTAATGGCAAAAACTTCATTTATAAAACAAAAAAATGGTAAGAATTTTCTTTAAAGAGTTAAAAATGGCAATAACTTTATTTACAAAACAAAAAATGGCAAAAACTATCTTTCCAAAGCAAGAGACAGCAAAAACTTTCTTTACAAGACCAAAAAATGCAAGAACTTTCGGCGCTCAAGAGGTATAGTACCCCAAAAGTTGTAATATAGTACCCCACCAACTTACTGCATTATAGTACCCCAAAAAAACAAATTTTCTAACGATTTTTTTTTAAATTTGCGTAATCGGAAATCCGATTCATTTTATTTATTGTTTCGTTTGCGTTGCGGCCATGGACGGTCGAACTTATTTGGATGTAGATCGCATGATGGTTGAATGGTACGTTCATGCCATACCATTGCTCAAGGGTAGACGTGTGGCGTGGGTAGAAGTGGTCGACATACGTGACGAACGGACCTTCAACTTATGATCATCGCACCGTTGGTAAGTTTAATTCTTTTGTACATATTATTACTTAGTGTTGTACTAAACTCTGTGGTAGGGTACTCATCTACTTAGTGGGGTACTTAACTACTTAGTATAGTGCAAATTTCTTTGGTGGGGTACTCAACTACTTAGTGGGTACTCTACTACTTAGTATAGTGTCAAACTCTGTGGTGGGGTACTCAACTGCTTAGTGGGGTACTCAACTACTCAGTATAGTCCTAAACTCTGTGGTGGGGTACTCAACTACTTAGTGGGTACTCAAATGCTTAGTGGGGTACTCAACTACTTAGTATAGTCCTAAACTCTGTGGTAGGGTACTCAACTACTTAGTGAGATATTCAACTACTTAGTATATTACTTATTATTACTATACTAAGTAGTTAAGTACCCCACTAAGTAGACCCGAAAATATTTTGGACCGCTTTGTCCACAAAATATACTTTAAAATAAATAAATTTGAGTTGGGGTACTATAATATTGCTTGGGGTATTATAATATTACGGGGTACTATCAGGGACGTCGTTTGGGGGGTGGTTCGGGGTGACTCCCCCCCCCCAGAGCAGATCCGAAAAAATCCACAGGAAAAATTTTTGAAAAATCGGTCCACAGGTAGCTGTGGACCAAAAAAATTTTTCGACCTCCCCCCCCAGAGAAAAATCAAAATGCCAAATAATCCAACCAAAATGCCATTTTTAACCTTATGGCACTATAATATTAGATATTTTTTATCCCCCTTAAAACCGCAAAAACTTTCTTTCCACCAAACCCTAAAAAAACTTTAAAAAAGTATTAACTTACCCTCCGTTCAAATCCAGGCGTCAGATGAACATTCCTTCTGATGTAGACGTTTGGCACGTCAAATAGGATCTCTTCCTCGCTACAAGTCGTGAATCTTCTCAAATACGACGGCCATTTCTGAATCATCGCGTACACCGCGTATTGTGGTTTGATTTGAATTTCTAGGCTTGAAGATATTAACCATAGTGCTAGTGCTTCTTGAGTTACATCCACGTCGATTGGTGAGTCCGACGCGACAATAAGAAGGATTTCTTCGGCCGTCGCATTGAATACGTTCGGTACGCAGTATTCTTTTGCTGAAAATGAGGGTTTAGGTAAAGGAAAGTGGGTAACTATACTTATTTTAGGTAACATTTAGATGATGATTATACATATTTTAGGTATCAATTTAATTTTTTAAATAAAATTTAACTTTTCATACAATTTTAAACAGTTCATTTCAATATTTTTTTAAAAATTTTTCCGTTGCTTCCCCAACATGAAAAATAAAAAATTAACCACCCGCACGCAAAAAAAAACGAAACTTTTTTTCAACCAACCCAGAAAAAATTTTTTACCCTGCCCTTTAAATTTTTTCCACACTTTTAAAAATCCGTTTTCCACCCTCTCGTTTAATTTTTTTCAGCCTCCCAAATTTTTTCTCACCAAACCAAAAATGTTATTGATCCACCCAGAAAAGTCGTTCCTCACCCCTCTTCCTCAATCAACCCCAAAAAAATGTACCCTACCAAAATCCACCCCCAAAAAAATTTACCCCGCCCACAATTTTTTTTCCAAAAATATTATTTTGATCCACCAAAAGCCGCCGCCACATTTGCCATCCTCGAGGAAATTTTACCCCACCCAAAAAAAATAATTTATCCAATTTCCCCTCCCCTTCCCAAAAAATTTACAACTATTCCAAAACCAAACTTACAATCACCATCAAAAGAGAACAATCGAAAGTTCTTCTTGGCGGGCTCGGCCAACGAAAACGAGTCGGATTGAACGTGGCTCAGTGGTACGACAGTCTCTTCGTTCAGAATACCACCGATGGGACTTGATGTGTACGGTGCTTGGTAACTTCGGCGTTTTGTGTAGTTGTTGTTCAGGCTGTGCATTGGGATGGGGATGGAAGTGGGTCGTTGAACGTATTTCAGTTCGGTCGCCGCGCCACTACTGTCCGCCGTCAGTGTCGTATCATTCTCTTCTATAGACATACCTGTAAGCGAAGATGTCAATTTGGGTTCTTAAACTTATAAGGAAGTACAGTTTGGTCTATAAATTCAAGAAAAGGTCAAAAAATATAAAACAATCTATAAAACACTTGAAAATGAGCTACAACAACATCTTTAGGTATCAAAACTATCAAAAGCCAAATTTAGATTCTTTTTCAAAATTTTTAGCTTATAAAACAAGCATTGTAAGCTAAAAATACTAATAAATAACCTAAATAAATATACAACCTTCTAAGCACAAAAACAATTCTAAAATACACCCAGTAAATACCCTTTTAAAACCCAAAAACACCCCTCAAACACAAAATACCCGTCAAAATCAGACACAGCGTCAACCAAAATACCCTAAACTCTCAATTTTCCTCAAATATTAACCAATTTCAACCAAAAACATTAATTTTTTGATCTTTAACTCCTCCTAAAACTACTTTAAAACCGCCTTGAACTTTTTCCCTTTTAATTCCTCCTTTTACCGTATGCTTTTCATACAATAATTAAGCAAAAAAACTTAATCCTTTTAATAAAGTTAACAAAATTGATTGATCAACTTAATTTTGATAAAACATAAACGTAAAAGTGCCATGTAAACTTTAAAATAGCAAGATAAAGATTCAATATAACCCAAAAACCTGTATCACAAACCCTTGTATAATAGGGTGTGTGAATAAAGTTAAAATCCCGAGCAAATCTTCTCATGCAACAGAGCAACTCCTCATACAAGACTTCCACTGTTTTAGCCAAAACAAGGCTTTTTCACAAAATCAATCATCAAAATGACGTAGATTAGCTAGTCCACTCGACCACACAACCTTTATCATCTCAGTATAAATTGATACTACTATCAAAATAAGCAAACAACTAACCCTTTCCAATAATTTAAATTTCATCCAAAATCAACCAATGACAAAAATATTAGGTAACGACATAAAGAACCCGCCATACTTTTCCTGTAATTTATTGTAAAAAATAGCGGGTTCTTTATGTCGGCGCCTAATATTTCACCCTACACCAAATTATGCTAGTTAACACAATATAAAAGCTACAGCTCTTATTCTAAAGAAAGAAATGAACAAAAGCTACTACAATGAACCAAAAAACAGTCAAAACAAATAAACATACAATAACTGTCGTCACCTCCACACAGTTCAAAACAATGAGTTATCTAAACCATAAATACTATTGCACCGCGCTTCCGGTACAACCTTCACTAACCATAACAAGATTACCTCTCAATGACTCTTATCAATTTCAAAAATTACGTAATTTAAAATTTCACGTAGTTAGTTCCTCATTACATGTTTCAGTCTTTTGAGTCATCTAAAGAAGACTGTCGCGTGGTTATAAGACGAAATGTCTTGGGTTATAAAAACGTGTCTAAAGACGCAAATACAGTGAAATTCATGTATAACAAACTCCTCTTTAACAAACATCCGTATAACAAACGCCTGTTCCACATACTGCTCGATAACAAACTCATGTGTAACACACTCCTCTATATCAAACTCCTGTATAACACAAACCTCGTATAACGAACTCCACTATAACGAACAAGTTTTGAAATTCAGGCTCATCGTATTTTACGAAAAAAACGTATCACAAGAAAAACTCAAAATTTAAAAAGTTAAGAAAAATTAATTTCTTGTACCTACAACAATATCAATGAAAAAGTATCATATACAAGAGCTGAAAAAGTACCATATCCATTCAAAAACAAGAATTCCGATAGTCATCCACAGAAAGCCCTCTCCACCCTTATATCCTAACAAAACTTTAAAATTAAAAAACATGTTGGTCTAGCTGTTTATTACCTTGTACAAACAGTATTTTAAAAATATTTTCCTTTATGTACTGAAAACATTATCTATTTTCTGACAGTTCTATGATATCTTTCAGGAAGAATAGCGATAACACTGACCATAAATTTTAACGACAGTTTAAGAACAAAGTTAAAGTTGGTGATTTTAAGAGAAAAAAGATGACATTTCAGCAATATTTTAGTTTGTTAACTGAAATATAGTAATTTCAAGGCTTGAAAATATAAAATTAAAAGAGAATCCAACGTATTTTACTTAAAATAGGTCTAAAGATAAGATAATCAAAGTCTCCTAAAATAGTAATGACTATAGTAGAACAAACTCCTGTATAACGAACAGCTGTTAAAAGCCCAGCTGACACAGCACAATTCATTTAAAACTGCTGTACCAGACCAACGAAGTATCAAAACTCTGTACACCAAAACCCCTTCATAACGAACAAATTTGAAACCCCCGGGTTATCCGTTATACAGGAGTTACACTATATATAACCAACTCTATCGTCATACTATATATACTAGAATCAGACATAAATAAACATCAACAATTTTCAAAACCCTATGTCTATTTTTAAATCAAAGAATGATCACTGTACAATGCTTAACAATAGAAGCTTATCAATATGAAAATTTATCTGCCAGAACATTCACAACTTTTCCTTTAGAAAGCAATCACAAGACCAACCTCACGAGGTTGAGAATAAACATTTACAGCTACGGAAATGTAAACAAAAAGTAAGAAGAGATTCAGAAGATGCTACATTGGCTAAGGATTGAAAAGAGGCCACAAGATTCGTAATATTCAACTACAGTAAAAATAATTATAACAAATGTATAACGAACAACTTTCAAATACCCGAGCGATTGGTTATACAGTAGTTTTACTTCAAATAAGTTTGTTATACAAGAGTTCCACTGCGCTGACTAAAAATATCCTACTTTCACTACAACAATACAAGACGAATTTTCCACCGAATTACTCGAAATTAAATCAGTAAATTATGCAAAACGAAGCATCTGAATTCAGAAATTTTATATCAACCACCAAATCTTTTCTTTAAAACGTTCTATGAATCACTCAAAATTTCCATCCAGAAAGTGATGATACCGTAATAAAGGAATAGGAAATGGTCGCATTGTTTGGGTAGAAACTAATTGCAAATTGTTTCAACTTGACCAAAAAGACAATCTTTGTGCCAATTTCTGTATTAACTAACGTATGAGCACGTATCTTTCATACTATCTAGAGGCTAAAAGTAAGCTAATATTTTGCTTAAAACATGCACTACGGCTGAAGGTAAAACCCGTAAAGCTTTAAAATAACCAAAGTTGTATGACAGACCCATGTCATGTGACAAAAATATGACAAAACTCCCACAAACCTCCTCATTCACCGCTGACTCACAATCTCAATGTTGAAGAAAATTCACAGCCTTTGACAACACTCAATTATCATGAACACAGCTTACAGTCTCAAACAAGTTACCAGTAAAACTCTGAAGTAAAATCAAGACTTCTACCTTAACTTAAAGACCTTTTAAAGCTGCAGTAAGATAACATCAAGTTAAAAACCCAAAACTATTTACTAGTAAAATTGACAACCCGAGCATATGACTCGCTACTTCTAGGTAATAAATCACAGCTCTCTACTGCCTTTGGAATCTATTAAAAACGCCCAAATCGCTAGCATTTTCATCAAGAGCCTATTATTGTATAAAAACAAAAGGCTATCATTACAAAGAAACTCCAGATAAATGTAAAACTCTTCTATTATACTTTTCAGAAGACAACGAGTAATCAAAGTAGTAGTAAAAACAGCTTTAAAAACACTACTTATTACCTAAAATTACCCTTAACCCAACACAATACCAAAAAACTACCATTTCAGGCAGAATCAGCTCCGAATCCGGACCTTTTCCGATTGTCGCAGCATAAAGAACGCCAGAAAACGACGAAAAATCGATAAAAGTTCCTTCCCAACCAAAAAAATTTTTCCGATTTTTCCTTTTCTCCGTGATTTGAGCAAAAGAAGAGGGCTGTTTAGAGGCCGCCAACTCAACCATTCCCTCCTATTCGCGTCGTTGTGTATACACAAAAACACTAGCTGGCTAGCTAATCGCATTCAAATTTGTCTTTTGGTTTGATTTGTAAATTTGCAAGTCTTGATGTTGCTTTAAATTGTCAAACTTGAAGTCTTGAAGTTGTCTTAGAATGGTGCATTTTTAACAATCTTGATAGTGTTTAGGTATAGCTTGATTTCTCTAAGTTCAAAGACCTTTTATTATCTTTTGTTTTATCATAAGATCTTTTTATTAGAAGTTAAGAGCTTATCCGTAGTGTTTCAGGTCTTCTTAGAACAATAATTTCTCGTTTATCCTGACTTCGATTATCATATTGTTGTAGATTGATCATGTTTTGCATTTTTAATCCTTTCTCATTGTTTTTGATGATATTTATGTTTCTAATATCTTGCGAGATTATTTTTTGTAGTTTAGAATTGTATATTTTCTAAAGATCTGTCTTTTTACAACATTTATATCAACTACAACATTAATAAGGTTCTTATAGACCTAAAAAAATGTTTTTAATCTGTATTCCCACACCCGTTTCAAAAATGTTCAAATTTAAAGATCCACATCATTTAAAAAGCTTTTTCAAACAATAACAGTCTCCCAGCATCATTTTAGAGTCCAAAACACTCATTTCCGCAAATATTATCTATGAAAATATCAGTAATCCCGGGAAAAACCTATTTTTATCAAATTTTCCGTCACAAAACCAAAGAATTGTTCTTCTAGTCTTGTGTTAATCTTTTATTTTCCATTCCTTTCACCAAACAAAGATGATTCACAACACTTGATTTGCACTTCTCTTCCTAGATCTTACTCACGTCTGATCTTAATCTAAACACTCCCAAATTGCGTAGTTTTTAGCTGTTACGTAGGTTTTTACCTATAGATTGTAATAGAAGACTTAAAATTTACGTTTTTCAACATATTTTTGAGAAAAACGACAAACTTTGAGAAAAAAGTTGACCTTATGTCTATGTTAATATAATTTTAATCATACCGGACGTTCAAAGAACAAAACAACATAAAAACAGATTTGGGAGCTTGATTAGGTTATTATTAATTAAAATTCTTATCAAAATAGCCCTTATTCGAATGAGTTTTCAAGAACCAACAAAAAGCAATATCACCATCCTTCAACCCACAAAAACATCAAGCAAAACCCCGAAAACACCCTCCCATACCTTCAATTTTTCCCAAAATTCATAAAAACTTCATTCTTCATCAACTACACACTCTATTTATCCAATAACAACAACATTCCTCCACCATACAAATCCCAATGACTTCGTATTACCTAAAACAAAAAAGAAAAAAGTAAAAACTTACATTCCTTACACGAGTTGAGCTCATAGTTTTGATTGTGATCGCCAAAAAGTACCTCCATTTCCATTGCTGCATCCGTCAAGTCCAGGGAACGTCGTTGCTGAAATTCCCACAAATATTTCATTTTGGCATTCTGCAACAGTTTTAAAAAATATGAGTTTGCATGCTTGGTTTTCGTGGTGGGACCAAATAAAGTAGTTGGTGCAAGGTAAAAATTGTTTTTTTGAGTGATTTCAAGAACATCTTAAAATTATTACATTATTTTAATGCTTTGTATTCTTAATTTAACTAAATTTTTTAAAAATTTTATAATTTTTGTAAATTTATTTTTTTGTTACTGTACTCTACCGTATCTCCTTGCCCTAAAACTCCGTTTTGCTAACTCTTTTATGAATTATTATTGATAAAAAACGCCAAAACAAGAGAGTTGAATCGATATTGGCCGCCGGAAGCGCTCCGATAACGGCCTGATAAGCAGTTTTATAGCAAAATTCAAACAAAGTCCGTATTTTATATGAGACCATTATCAAAAAGGCAGTGGATGGTCAACCAAAAGTGCTTGTTAATCATTTTTACACATTACAACGTTACTAAAGTTGGTTTTTTTCATTAAAAAAGGCTTAAAAAAGTTTATTTTAAGCTTTGCCCGTCGCTGAGATAAAACCGCAATAATTTTCTTTACAGACAAAAAAGTGTTAATTTAGGTTTAAAATACACTTTAAAAGTTTTTATAGTGCTAAAAATACAAAAAATACATAAAATTGAAATTTTTTAATCAGGATCTCGAAACCGCAATAACTTTCTTTACAGACAAAAAAGTTAAAAATTTAAGTTAAAATACGACCTGCGTACCCAAAAGTTTTAAAAAACATATAAAAATTACTTTTTTATTGACGAAGTTTCCAAAACCGCAATAACTTTCTTTCCAAAAGCAAAACTTAAAAAAAAAAACAAAATTTTCAAAAAAATTTCAAAAATTTTTTATTTTTCTAAAATTTCGATGATTTTGTGAGCAATTTCATCAGGTGTCATCATGCCATCCACTACATATACATCTTCGCCTTCAGGCATTTCCAAATCACTGAACTGACTGTGCAATAAGTTTGGCTTTGCATAGTGACCGACCCGTTTGGCCGTTCTTGAAACCAGATGTTCGGCCGTTACGTCCAATATGATGATCATTAGATGCTTGTTGTACTTCTTGAACAAGTCACGGTACTTCTTCTTTAGGCATGAACATCCGAGTATGGTACGAGGGGTTGAGCCGGCTATGTGGGCTAGTTTTTCTAGCCAAGGGGCTCGGTCATCGTCTAAACATTGATTGTAAAAATGCTACTGAGGCAGGGGTAGAAAGAAGTAGGGATAGGGGTAGGGGTAAGGGTAGGAGTAGGGGTAGGGGTAGGGGTAGGGGTAGGGGTAGGGGTAGGGGTAGGGGTAGGGGTAGGGGTAGGGGTAGGGGTAGGGGTAGGGGTAGGGGTAGGGGTAGGGGTAGGGGTAGGGGTAGGGGTAGGGGTAGGGGTAGGGGTAGGGGTAGGGGTAGGGGTAGGGGTAGGGGTAGGGGTAGGGGTAGGGGTAGGGGTAGGGGTAGGGGTAGGGGTAGGGGTAGGGGTAGGGGTAGGGGTAGGGGTAGGGGTAGGGGTAGGGGTAGGGGTAGGGGTAGGGGTAGGGGTAGGGGTAGGGGTAGGGGTAGGGGTAGGGGTAGGGGTAGGGGTAGGGGTAGGGGTAGGGGTAGGGGTAGGGGTAGGGGTAGGGGTAGGGGTAGGGGTAGGGGTAGGGGTAGGGGTAGGGGTAGGGGCAGGAGCTCACCATTTAGTCCTATTCCCTGACTCATCTTAACTTTGTTCTCATGAGAATGATAGTCATCTCCATCAATGAAGGTATAATTCAACTTTTCTGCCAACGCTTTTCCAACGGTCGTTTTTCCACATCCAGAGACTCCACCGATGATTATACAGTCAGGTAAGGTCATTATAAAGGTCGTATCGTCATTTATAGGCCTAAACAGTAAAATTATCTTCAACTAATGTGTCGTATTTTACAAAAAATGACATTTACAACAAACATACTTAACCTAAACAGCTCAAATTACCTATAAAACCCCAATTAAACATTGATTCAAACAACTTACTTGACTAAAATAGGTAACAAATATCACAAAAAATCAAAAAATAGTTTAATAGCTACAAGATTCCAATCAAAAACCTAACGTTTCACGTTGAAATCACATCGAAACACGGTTGATAATTGTTTATCACGAGAAAAAGTTTCGAATAAATTGATGTTTTACGTTTTTCTTAAACTGTTTCATCACAAAACCCTTGTCTTATCTATCAAAAACCTCGATTTCAAGAGTAATGTTGTCATATCTGATTATTAGACCGCTCACTTAATTCTGTGCCCTTCCATTAAGCTTCTATTACAGGATAGGAGAAGGGTTGTATGCTTATTAGGAAGGTCTAGAAAGTCATAATCTTATGGTTAAGCATGCAGTTTAATGTCCTACGGTTCAACGCCATTCTTTTCGCACCAAACTCAAAAAAATTCAAAGAGAGAAAAATAAAAAAACCCCATTCTTTTTGCATCAACTAACATAAAAAATTGAATTTAATGGCGCATGTTACCAAATCTTGATTGTTTCAAGTCAAAAGTCATAGTAAAATGTTTATTCCAGTAATTGATGGACATTTTTGAAAAGAACGTCTCGGTCATTCACATGTTGGGAACATCCATGGGAGCAACGTAGCTTCCTATAACAATATAATATTAAGTGCCACAAAATAATATAACAAAAAACTACAAATATGCTAAGATAATGCCAAAATAAAGCAGATAGCAAACATTGATACAGTAGGTGCACCAAATGAGCATGGTCTATATTTTAGTACGGTGTACTTCTTTGCTAACGTACAGAAAAATGTGGAAAAGAGTAAACACAGAGCTAGAGTAAAGAAAAAAAAGATAAAACAAAGCAAATTAAGGTAAGGTAAGGTACAGTAACATGACAAGGGTAGGGCAAAGAAGAGCAGAGCAGAGTAAAGTAAGTGGAAGTACAGTAGTAAGGTAGAATAAGGTAAAGTAAAGTACGTAAAAATAAAGTAAGGTACGGTTGAGTAGGGTAGGGTAGAGTAGAGTAGGATAAAGTAGGGTAGGGTACGGTAGGGTAGGGTAGGGTAGAGTAGGGTAGGGTAGAATAGAGTAGGATAAAGTAGGGTAGGGTAGGGTCCCTTACCTAATCGTATGTTAAGTGAAGAAGTGATGAATTGTGGGCAAATCTTCTCCAAAACTTCACTTTTCGGTCGATAAACAAGTTCGTTGTTCTTTATTAGACAGTCAAAGCCTCCAACGGTTAGATCTTGGTCTGTCCGACTAAACAATTATATTTCTTTAATGCGAGCGATGTATTTTACAAAAAATCCATTAAAACTTACGTTTTTTCCATATCGAGCACGTCTAACAGATGGTTTAGTACGCGAAATTTGAGTTCGAAGTCTTCTTGACTGCTTGGTGTTAATGATGGAGAGGCGTTGACTTCCAAAAGCCATGGTTTCAAGTCTTCGTCTATTAAAATGTCATATCCGTAGAGTTCGAAACAATGGGAATCCTGAAATAACAGTAATTTTTAAGGCAAAAAATTTTTTGAAAAAGAGATACTAAGCCTAGGTAAACTAAGAGCCGAAAACAGCTAGAGCGAGACTGTGTAAAATAAGATTATAATGAGGTACGGTAGAACATATTACTATAATATAAAGCAATGTAAGATAGAGTAGGACAAATTAGAGCAAAGTAGGATATATATAAGCCGTATTTTACCTGTATAATAATGCCCTGAACAGATTTCAAGCTCATGATAATGACATTTCCGATGTTTTCAATGAGCTGGTCTACCGTTTCAGCGCCGTGCCGCGCTTCAATGTATCGAAAAAGCTTGTCCAACGACCATTTTAAGCCTTTTTCTGGATCGTAATCGGACGCCGACTTTGATATGGCTACGTTTGTCAGATGAACATCTAAAATAAGGTATTATAACAAGGTACAATAATTAGTGTGTGGTACGGCAGGATATGGTATGGTAAGGTATGGTAGAACATAGTGAGGTAGAGAAAGGTAAAGTAGAGTGAGGCGGAGTATGGCAGGTAAGGTAAAGTAATGTATGGCACTTACAAGCATCCTCCACACTCTCCAAGCTGTACTGTGAATGTGAGAATCTAGAAAACCCTTCACGATGTACCCACGCGTTCAGTGGTCGAAATGAAGTTACCAGAACATATAATCTTACGTCAAACTTCTTCCCTCCAATTAGATAGGGCTTATGAATGTAGCTTTGCACAACATATGGCTGGGTATCAGCATCACTTTTTCCGCCTTTCTAAAGTATGAATGTGCAAAATTTCAAATTTGAAAAAATAAAGATTATATAAAATAAATAATCGTGCGAAAAACTTAAACTTACCTGAGCTTCATAACACAACGTGGCATAAAATAACTAAAAAAGCAAAATAAAAATGTAAAGTACGTAAACAAAAATTTTAAGCAAAATATACTCGTAATGTATATTACACTAGATGAGCTTCCTAAATTACACTAAAATCTGACCTTCATTGAACTTTTTTACACTAGTACCTTACCCTATCCTTACATATTTCTTAACCTAACAAAAAATCTGCTTCAATACGTATACCATATAACGTGTATTGCCCTGTTTTAAACTTTACCCTACCCTATCCTAGAATCCTCTCTACCCTACCCTAAAACCTGCCCTAACCTACCCCAGAGTCTGTAGTAACCTACACTAGGACCTGCTTTACCTCCTTGAAATTTAATCTGCTCTATCATGGAATTTCCCCTACCCTAGTGTCTGATTTATCCTAGCCAAAAACCTGTCCAGTCACCAGCCTTAAGTAAGCTCTTTTCTACCCTAAAATCAGTCTTACACTACACACTTGACTACCAACCGAAAATAAAAGTACAAATTAATTTAAAAAGTATGTTGTTGACGTACAAAACAAATAAATAAATAAAATTATAGAATCTAAACCATGCAATGAAACAAAAATAAGAAGTCTTGAAACTTCAAAAAAATATTTATTTTACCTTCTTCCACTCCTGGATTTCCTTGAGTTTTTTGAATAAAAATATGCCCCTGCCTTGAGCTCCACTGACCGGCTTCATAATCCAAATCGTGTCCGGAGGGTATTTCTTGAACTCTTCCACAAAGATATGGTATTCTAGCTAAAAATGTCATTCATATTCAATAAGCCACAACATATGTTTTAACATAGCAAAAAAATTTCAAAATTTTATTTTTTTTGGCATTTTTTTAAGCAATTTTCTAAAAAAAAGTAGAAGCAAAGGCAACGGGTAGAGGTAAGGGTAGAGTAATTTTTGCAATTTCTGATAAACTTACAGGTAAAACATAACTAGCTGGTAGATAATCCATTTTTTCTCCATTTTTAACTATTTTCTTTGTCTTTTTATGATTTTTAATCAGAGAATCCTTTCTTGTCAGTTCAAAATCATTTCGAAAGTGACAAATCTTCTGTCCTTCCTTGAACTTATGCCGATCGAATGTTTGCACCATCCATTCCCGGTTCACCCAGAAAAAGTGCCAGTCTTCACCACTGAAATTTGGTTTTTAGTAGCTATAAGATTATATTGTGTATGGTAGGTTTAACTAGAGCAAGACAGAAGAAGAAGAACAAGAAGAACAAGAAGAAGAAGAAGAAAAAGAAAAAAGAAGAGAAGAATGAGAATCAGAAGGAGAAGAAGAAGGAGAAGTTGAAGAAGAAAAAGAAGGAAAAGAAGAAAGAGAAGCAGAAGAAGAAGAAAGAGAAGGAGAAAGAGAAGGAAAAGGAGAAAGAGAAGGAGAAGGAAAAGAAGAAGGAGAAAGAAAAGAAGGAGAAAAAAAGGAGGAGGAAAAGAAGAAGAAGGAGAAGGAAAAGAAGGAAAAAGAGAAGGAGAAGAAAGAAGAAGAAGAAGAAGAAGAAGAAGAAGAAGAAGAAGAAGAAGAAGAAGAAGAAGAAGAAGAAGAAGAAGAAGCAGAAGAAGAAGCAGTATGAGTGCATAGGGACAGAAGTCAAAAATAACGTTAACAACCCTACTTTGTAGGAGCCCAATTAGGCCTGGCATTCAGTACTTCTTGTATCGTATTAGTCAGCGCACATCTCCATAAGATCTTTTTTCGATTTGCAGCCATCTACAACCTGAAAACCGCACTAAACTAAAGAAGTCTCCGTATTTTACATTTAAAAACATTTAATTTTTCATCATTTAACCATTTCAAAATTACCAAAAATCCTTAAAAACCCTAGAAATCCTCAAATTTCAGACCAAGTTGAGCACAGTTAAGCCCCAAAAACCAATTATTTTATAAAACGTATATTCTGGTTAAATTTGTACCACCATCCGAAAGTTACAACAAGAGCAACCAAGTATGAAAAATAATGTAACTTACTTGTTGTCTCAACTTTTCCGCCTTTAAACGTCATCGGGCCAAACATCCGGCGGGAAAGAACTGAAAACACACTGAAAAGGTATGAATACTTCCAAAAGCAATCGCCGTTTGCAACTTGAACATGTTTTCCCTGTGCTTTTGGACTTGAAAAATTTAAAAAATAAGTTTTTAAAATTTTCAAAAAGTTAAAATTTTTCAAAAAAAAATTAAAAACCACCCCCCTAATCAGCATACCAACCCCTGCCCAAGCTCAAAATCCTAAAAAACAAAAATTTAACATAATTCCGTTTTAAAAAAATCCAAAAAACACCCCCCCCCCATCCAAACTATACCACACCCTCCCCCAAAAATCACCTTTTATCACACCCTTCCCAAAAGAGTCCCCATTTACCACACCCTTCAAAAAAACCCTCAAGATTCATATATTACACACAATAAAAGTGACTTCCAACATCGATTCATACCCAAATCATCCACTTTATCAAGGTTTTCATTTACTTGTTAACAATATAATCGATATAATAAATTATGGTTGTTATAGACAAAATAGAATATTATTACATTTGTGATACGAATTGCACTAGTTACAATCATATGGTGTGCCATGTACTTGTGCGTCTTATTTACTGTAGAATACTCGGTAGTAGAGGGTTTTGGAGCGCCATAGTGAGTAGGAGTTGTCGAACTTGAGCAGGTACACGCCTTGACCCGGGTACTTGTGACTACCGGCATATACCTGAAATTACAAACAATGTAAAGTAAAAGATTAAGCCGCCAATAAACCATGATTAACCGTATTCTAATTTTCGCTTACCCTACCGTACCCAACATCATCTTCTCTTATTGTTTCCTGTCGTACCTTATCTTGCCCTATCATCGTCCGCCTTACGCTACTCGACTTTACCTTAGCCTATCATGCAGTATCGTACTTGACTTTAACCTATCCAACAGTACTTGGCTTTAGGCTGCCCTACCGTACCCGAAACTACCTTACCCTACTGTACTTTACCTTAGCTTACCTTACAATGTTGTACAGTACCTTAGCCTACATTATCCTGTCCTACCGTGATTTGTCTTGCACCACCGCATCCTGCTATACCGTACACTACTTTAGCTTAACCTACCCTACAGTACTCGACCTTAAGCTGGCCTACCCTACTCTATGTTAGCCTACCCTACTCTGGCCTATAAGTACACTAACATCTTCTACCTTATCATCATCTGCCTTGCCCTAAATCATCTTACACTAGTCTACCATACCTACCTACCCTTACCCCAATAAAAATATTCACCCACCTCTTCATGACACTCCCTTCTGTAAACTGGAATAACCTCATCAATCCGAGGCTTGTTCGGATCTCTTGGCTTTGGTGCAGCCGTGGCCGGTGCTCCACTCTCAACGTCGTTTGGCGTTGAAGCCGCGGCCGCAATTGCTTCGGCTTCTTCATCGTAGTCTTCTTCATCATCCGATTCCGACACATGAACCGTGACTTGATTCGATTCGGCTACGGTCCATTCAAAGTACACACCAAAGCCAATATCATAGTAGTCGGTGCAGAATTCCCAGTACAAATGAGTACCTTCGGCATGGGTTGGTACTCGGACGGTTACGGTCTCACCATGGCCCACTTTGATTATGCCCTCGGGACCTTCTTTCTTGATATTGTTTTTGAATTCTTCGATGCCTTTCGAGTTCCACAACGAAGCTGGGTCGATTTGGGGGTTTGCTGAAAGGTAAAATACGATAATCCAAAAGTAGAATTAAAAACCAAAATTACGGAACTACAATAAGCTGTTTAAACTTCAAAATTATAGTAGGCTAAAACACCAAAGAATTAAAAAAAATTCAGTATTGCGCCATTCTTTTTGCGTCAAAATCAAAAAATTTCAAGAATGTTCAAGCAGCGCCATTCTTTTCACATCAACATTAAAAATTTGTAAAAAAAAATTAAAAAAAGCAATATGCGCCGTTCTTTTTGCATCAAAAGCAAAAAAGATTTTAAAATAAAAAAAGGCAGATAATGTCATTCTTTTCGCATCAAAAACCCAAAAAATATTTTTAAAAATTATTCCACAAAACAACACCGAAGACCTATATAACACGCCAAAAAGTTTTTAGCCACACCACCAATACCACCCAAGTACAATTACACAGAAACACACTGACTGACTAAATATGCTTACAGTGGCAGAAAAGGCCCATTTGGCCGTGGATGGAAGGCACTAAAAGATAGAAGTTGAAAAAACCTGTGCATTATTGAAAAAAGTTAAAGTGCGGTCAAAAAGTTTATAGAAGAGCCATTTATATACCCCACAGTACTCAGCAGAGAACATATTTATTATCAAAAAATTAAATTTCCAACCATAAAAAAACAAAAAAAACATATTCTCCTTCTTTTCTACAAACTTTCGACCAAATAAGTAAAAAAAGTGATAGTGAAAAATAAAAAAAATTTCTAAATTTTTAAAGAAAGTAAAAAAAATTAAAAATGCTAAAATTGTGCTGAAAACTACGAAATGCAAAACCAGTGCTTTAACCAGTAAAATCCAGAAAACTTCAAAATTTTTAAAACGCGGCCAAAAAATGAAAATCATTTTCCAAACGCCATTCTTTTTGCATCAAAACCAAAGTCAATTTTTTGAAAAGCTAACAAAAATTAGGTTTTATACCACCCCTCATTTTTTTCTAGAAATTTTTAAAACATCCCTGCCGCGTGAAAAAAATCTTAAATTACCCCTCACCAAATAAAAAACTTTAAATTACCCCGCCCCAATAAAAAAATCTTAAATTACCAAGCCCCACTAAAGAAACTCTTAACCTCAAATCACACCTCCCAAACCTACACTGTTCCGTTTCCTGAACAATTTCATTCTCCGAAGCCTCCGAGTCCTCGCCATCGTCGTCCTCGACCTTGTCTTTGGGTCGCTCCAGGCCCTCCTGAAGGTAGGATTCGGCGGGTTTTGGGCCGGATTCGGAATCTGAGTTGTCCGAATTGCGCCCGTTCGATGCTTCCAGCATTTCGGCTTGAGATTGGGTTTGTTGTGCGTATACTTGAGCCATATACTGTTCGTAGTGCTGTTCTTGGAGTTGTTTGATCAGCTTTTGTTGCTGAAAATGGTAGGGTTTTAATTGTTTTCGGTAACAATAGGCGTATTATAAATTTTTCTCAACAACGTACTGATAAAAGCATGCTCAAAAATTGAGATCTCTGCCCCAAAAAAAATTACCCCCCCAAAAAAATTTTTTTACCCAGCCCCAAAATTTTTTTAAAATTGTATGTTGAACTTCAATTTCCTACTAATTATACAAATTAATGCCATTTTTCGTTTCATTCTGACTTAACACCTTGATTTTTTTCTTTTTCTCTCCCATACTCTCTTCATTTCCCTTCTCTCTCATTTCCCAGCTCCTCAGGCATTAAACAAAACCACAGCAATCAAAAAGAGGCTCGAGAGTTTGCTTCACGTCAGATCCGCCTAATTGAAAAGATATCTTTTGGGACAAGAGCGAACGTTCGTGTTTATCTCGATCCGGTGAAAGAACACCGAGTTTTGCAATCCGAAAAGAGTTTCGAGTTCAACTGGCTTCGTTAGCCGGTTGACAAGTGACCTGAGGCTCATTTCGACTTGTAATCAGTTAGAGCTATTTGGCTTGCAATCAGTTCGAGCTTGTTGAGGATAAACGCCTGATCTGTTTTGAATATTATCTATTTTTGATAACAAATTTGTTTTTTACCTAAAAAACCTACAAGATCTCAAAGAACCTTCTACCTGAACTTATACAAGATCATCAACTTAAACGTATTTTACTTGACTCTTACTATTATTGAACTATTGTTACTACTATAACTTTTGTCACTACACTATCCCCTATAGTACCTCAAAAGCATGGTTAATATAGATCAATTAGATTCAGACTCTTTAAGCCAGATCTTTTCATTGTTTTCCTTCAAAGAACGGGTACGATTCGAGCGTGTGTGCAAAAAATGGCGAAGCATAATGCATGTAAGTTTCAGCAACTTCAAACTTTGCACATTTCAAGGTAAAATACTAGCCTATTCAGAAGGAAACAAATCACAAATGAAACAGATAGTCCAGATATCTACAAGCTTTGAAATGCCCATTCATATTTGGACCACCTAATATATAATAAAACCAAACTTTTAAAAATTCAAAATCTATTTACTTTTCAGAACCGTCGAGTATACGTTGGAGAGACCTCCTTTAACATTGGTGAATATCTTTACAACAATAATCATTCTTATTTTCAACAAGTAAGTTAGAGACAACACCCAAAATGCCGTATTTTACAATTTTCAAAAGGTCAGTTCTCGAAAAAATCTTTATCTACTTTCAGGACAGTCTAGCATTTGAACCCACAACATTGAGCATTCTTCAACGATGTGGGCCTTTTTTACAACGACTATCTTTTGGGGCGCGATGGCTACGGATTACGCCTTCTGTTATTCAAAGTGTTGCGGAGTAAGAGAATTGTCACATACCTATTTAAATTGTCCTAATCTTATCATATCACCATTTAAATTATCATAATAGACTTATCATAACACTATTTTAAACTATTTGTCATCAAAACTAATAATGCCCATAAAACAACAAGAAAATATTACTCAGCGCCTTATACGATACTTTAAAACAATACCTTCTACTTTTTAGCAACTGTACTCGACTAACTGTGCTAGACCTAAGCGCCTCGATTCTCAGTGCTGATCTCACACCAGTTTTAAACTTCATTGGACCTCAATTAAAAGTACTATCATTAGAAGACGTTTCTTGGACTGATAACACTCACGCTCAAAAAGTAGGCTTTGTAACAACCCACATAATTATCATGATTACGCAAAAGTATCTAACCAACGAAAATAGATAAAGCTACCTGACAAAGAGATAAAAATCAGTTCACTGTATTTTATTAATCTATCACAACCATAATTTTCAGGCCGGAAAATCCTTTCAGCATATGCAAAACATTCAAGAGATCTATCTACGCAATTGCGGAATTGACATGGTTGATGTCCTTGACCTGCCTGGCAACATAAAGTATGTTTCCAAGCTCTGACACACAAACGTCTTTAACACATAGGTCTTTTTAAGATACTTTCATTACTTTTAAACATTACTTTTAAAATATTTAAATATGAACAAGAATTAATGAATCTACCTATTACTTCTTCTTTCCTTATTTACTTCAAAACCTACGTGCTTCAAAACTCAATATAGACCTTACTCAAAACGAAAAAACAAACAAGTTATTGATACTCTATAAACACCACCTCAAAGCTTAATAAACATAAACAAAAATTACAGCTTTGAGCACCAGATACCAATACTCAAAGCTTAAACTACTAACCAAAAGCCTAAAAAAGAACCTAATCTTAAAACTAAGAATAGAATTATATTAAGTAGAATTAACCGCACAAAGATTATTTTTCCTGAAAAAAACCTAAAACCACTCTTTTCTAGCACATTCGAATCAAATACCACCCCTTTCTAATACTTTATTCATTCCAGGAAAGTGGATTTGAGCTCAAACTGGCAATTAACCGCGGAAATACTCGTTTCCTTCCTGATAAACCAACGCGAGCTCGTTAGCTTGGCATTATGCCCATTCCCAGGTGGTCAATTTCCAAAATACTCGGATGAGGATCCTACAGATGGACTTGAAGCCGTCATCGAGTGTCTGTCGGGTGAGTTAGCAGGGAGAAACTACTATCAATGTCATTAACAAGGTTGTAATTTTTCAAAAAATGACTGGCAACTTCTCTTTTACTACAATGAACTCTCTGTATAGGCAGTTTTTATACCAGTAAAATGAACCGAATCTTCTAAATATACCCAAAAACCTCAAAAAAACCAAAATTTTCCATAAATACGCTATTTTTTAGGCATAACAACCCTGAATGAGCTACGTCTTGGCCAAATCTCGTACGAGCCACGTGTGTTGTCACTGTCGGCGTTGGGCCGGCTTACCAATTTGGCTATACTCGAGTTCAAGGTAAGAGTAATGCGGGCTTAATTAGAAGTGGGGCCAGCTGACTTTTTGCGTGTTGTTATGACAACCAGACACGTAATAGCGTGTGCTAGTCCAACGCTACGATTACAATGTAAAAATTGTATTTGTTTTTTTTTACTGAGTGTGTCAATTACCTCTTTAGAGTTAATTTATGCACATGAAGATGGGTACGAGTATGAGTATTGAGAGGGTTGTGCGCTTTACAGTAAAGACTATTTTTGGCATTGAAATTTGACGTTTTAATCTAAGTGAAGATCACAAACTGTATAAAAAAACTACAAACTTTATGAAAAACCATAAAAGCTGCCATAATATACTTAAACCAACAAAGAAAACCCACAAAGAAACCTTCAAAACTATCTTTTCACTAATCACAAGCACTTTTCAGCAAGTAGTAAGCCTAACAGGACAGACACTCACTGATATACTTCAAGGAACACCAAATTTAAAGCAACTTTCTGTAGTTCACTGTGTCAAAGTTGACGATTATCGTGGACTGCATGTGCTTAAAGAGCTTGAGACATTGGAAGTGGAAAGAACTCCACAAATATGCGATTCTGATGTTCTTGACGTTACTGTTCACAGCCAGTTAAAGCACGTCGCTTTACGACGATGCTACAACATTGAGGATGGATCAATTGTTGCTTTGGCCGCTAATTGCAACGTTAGAGATGTAAGGCTGATTTAAAACCTCATTTAAAAAAATAAAGAAATTGTCGTTTTTGAATGTGAAAACCCATATAAAATAAAGACAAGACTTTTTCCACACTATCCTTTCATGCAATAGCCACTCAAAATCAAGTTCAAGCTCAAAAAACTAAAATTCTCAATTCCAGTTAGACCTAACCGACTCAGATGCGATAACCGACCAGATTTTCGACCTCCTCGAGCCAGTTTATACCATTCGATCATTGTTTCTTGGTGGTTGTAAAAAACTGACCGAGAATGGTATCCACCGTCTTGTAAAGGGTTCTTTAATCGATCATCTAGAACAAATCGACCTTAGTCGGAACAAAAACTTTACCAACTATACTGTGCAACTACTGCATGAAACGGTACGCCAACTTGGTCGCGAACAACCTTTGAGAGTTTTTGCTTTTCAATGTCAAATTGAAGAGCAGTTATGTAGGGTTGTTTATCCGGAAATCGAGCTTATTATTACTTGAGTTTTTGTTATTATTGTATCTCTTGGTTTTTTATTGTATTTATAGTCTTCTCGAACTGTTGAGAGTCTTTTAAGATTATTCAACTAGTAGTTCAAAAGCCATTTTTAGCCAAAAGGTCGAAAAATGGCAAGCCTTTTTACCCTATCCCCATACAAAATCTGTAGCGAGGTCCTGAATCTTGTTATGACTTTTATTGATTTATGCGGTTTATTGCATAATATGGGTAGAGCATCATACCTAATATAAGTTTTATTATATTTTGAATCAAAAGCAATCTCAAAACATATTCTTTTAGTTATTGTTCTTATAATTTCGAGTACGTGTAGAATAAACTAACTACAGTTACTTTAGTTCCTGCAAGTTTAAGAGTAAATAAAGTCTTGACGCTTTAGAAAATTTCAATACGTAAAAGCTGACGACAAGAATTTTTTAGCCCCGTAATACTATAAACCACAGTACAGTGATAATTAAAATACCACTTTTTTAACTCGACCAAAATATTTGCCAAATAACCCTAAAAACCCCGCCCAAACCAACCTTTTCCGGATCGCCGGGGACGTTTTGTTGAGCGTAGGCAAGGAATTGGTGATACGTTTGTTTGTTCAAGGCTTCTTGGATTTGTTTTCTAAAAAAGGCATTATTTAAAAAAACTTTTCCTGGGCCGAACGTATTGAATCTCAATAATAATATTAAATTACTTACTTTTGTTGTTGATATTTCTCGATTACTTCTTGGGAATCTGTCTTACCGTTGAGATACGCTGATTTCCTGCAAAAACTAGACATAAAATTATGAATCCAACCCAAAATTAAAAAATTCAAAATTTACTCCTCCACCCCTTTTCAAAACGCCTTGAAAATCCACCCCCACACAAAAATTTTAAAAACCACGTCTCGCCTTTCACAATGCCCTCAAAATCCACCTTTACCAATAATTTTCAAAACCACCCTTCCGCTTTGACAATGCACTCAAAAACCCACCCTTACCCTGAATTTTCAAAACCACTCCACCACTTTCAGAAAGTGTTTAAAAATCAACCCTGTCCAAAAATTTTAAAACCGTCCTCCCCCGCCTTTAAAGCCCAAAATTTCTAAAAACTAAAACACTACCCAAAATGTAAAGTGTTATCGATTCCCTTCCCCAAATATATTACTTATCCAACCCGCAGAAAACGAGAGGAATAATTCTTGTTCCAATGGCCAAAGCCAAAAGAGCAGGCAAGAGAGGAGGAAGAAAAACAGGCCCAAATTAAGACGAAATCCTCTCAAACTCTTTTACTTCAAATTAGTTCGAATTACATTGTAAGCGGGTTTTAACAGAAAAACGTTTTAAATTTTTGTATGTGTTCTTTTGATGGATTTAGGCTACTTTGTCACATTAAAAGGTCATTTTGAAGTAGTTCAACCTGCTAACATATATTCAAAGGTCAAAAATTCATCAAAGTATCCAAACGAGCTTGAACACAAAACACGGCATTAACGATTTTTCTTGTCCTGCCCTTTGCCCCTCTATATCGTGACTAGTAAAGTTCCGTTCCCTTTTACTAGCCACTATACAGCAGCGCCGGGCCCATATAGCCGCTATGGTTTCAAAACAAGATCCATAACAATTTTTTGAACAAATTTTTGAAAATTTTTAAAAATTATCAAAAAATTTAATTTGCAAAACATATATTTGACTAAAAAAGTCAGTCAGTACGCTTTTTCGGCCAAAACAAGTAATTTACATAATCTTTAAGGCCTAAATAACCGCTTTACATGTTGTTTTTTACAACTTCAGGCTTTCTATATAAAAGTTGAGCCGAAAAATTGACCCCGGCTCGCCCCCTTTACAAGTCTGTATCTATCCTATTAATAACTCCCCTCCACCACTGACCAACCCTTCATACAAACCAAAACAGGCCTTTCTTATACCGTGCCACCAGCACGTCAAACCAAATGAAACCGCAAACAAACTCAATTTATAGTCCTCATTTACCCAGAAAACTGGGCCGCGAACATCTTCACACAAAAAACCTTCATTTTCTTTAATTTCAACAAGCTTTTTAAAGAAAAAACCGCAAAGCGTGGCAGAAAAAAGCCGTCCCTCGAGGCATTCCCCGTGCTACGTCAAACTATTTCCGCAACAGCTCTATTTTAATATTGTACTTGACACGTTAACTATATTTTTGACAGGTTTTCAATAAAAAATCAACCCAAAACTCATGTTTTAAACCTAAAATCAAGCCCAATATACCATTATAAAACTTACCCATTCAATTTCGGTGCTTCTAGTGCTGCTTGTTCTTTCACAAATGGCTTGAATGTTGGGCAAACCACGTCCAGAAGGCGGACAAACTCCAGCATTGCCTCCTCGCGGCTGATCTCGCCCAGTTTTTGCCACTCTTTCCTGAAATTACGTAAAATAAAACGTTTATTTTTGTTATTTCTACTTTTTCCTTTAATCGTAAAACCTTTAAAACTGTAATAAATTTGTTATCAACAACCAAATTTTCAAAAAAAAAATAAAAATCAGTCTTTTTGCTCAATTTGACACCATAAGTTGTCCAAAAATTACAATTTTAGCCCCACAAAACGCAAAAACTTAAAAAAACTATCTTAAAGTCCTTTCCCATACCCAAACCCCTTATTTACACAAAACTAATTAAGTCCATAAGCCTTGGCAAATAACAAAACAACTATCATAAAATCCATCATTCGAGCATGCGGGTCTTCCTGCATACACTTCCTATCTCTATAGTCATCAAGAACGGAATGCCGGAAAACGTTTTACAATTTTGAATGTTCTCACTATTAAAAAACATCTTTATAATCTTGATGTATCGTGAGACAAAGCCCCGTAACATATATATCATACTAAAACTCCACATATCATAAGGTTTTTTGGAACGATATAAAAAGAACACTTTGAAGCATCATGACGTTCTTGAATTACTTTGACAAAATTTTTAACGAAAAATATTGCTTTTTTAAAAATAATTTTAATATTAAAAAAATAATGCATAATGCTTAAAATGTTCTATTTATATCGTTCCAAAAAACCTTATCATATGTTGAGTTTTAGTATGATATACATGTTACGAGACTTCGTCTCACGATTCATCAAGATTATAAAGATGTTTTTTAAAAATGAAAACATTCAAAATTGTAAAAAGTTATCCGGCATTCAGTCCTTGGTGACTATAAAGATAGCAAATCTCTACTGAATAGTTTTGTGTAAAAAAATTTTCAGTATAGAAGACCCTCATTTTTGAATAGATAGATCTGATAGACTTCTGAAGATCAACAATGAATAGACTTGATATAGAATATTACCTTAAGATTTAAAAAAAACGTCGTAAGTAATAGCCACACCTACAAAATTAAAAAAAATCAAATTGTTAAAATATCAAAAAAACAAAACCCCTATCTTCAATACCATCTCACTCCAAAAAACCCGCAAATCTTAAAACCTCTACCCTTTGAAAACATTCAAATTCTATTTTAAAACCCCTAGATCTTAGAAAAAACATCCAGATGCAACAAAATCTTTGACAAGAACTATAAAAGCCACATTATTCTTCCTGATCCAATTGAACTTTCCCAACCAGACAAAAAAAACTTCAAACGTTTTCGTCCATATGATAAAACATAGTAGGGCGAATCCTCAAATATTTTATAGGACACAGATTTGCTTGTCGAACATTTTTCAAAAAGTTATGACAATTTGAATCCGCGCGCGCCGTTTCTTTCGTCGTCCCCATCCAACACCAACCATCCCGAACTTTTAAAGTTTGAAGAAAAGTCCGTGTTTCCTTCCTGTGTTCTTCGCTGCTAATGTTTTTGACGGCCCCAAGAATGAGACAAAAATGCTGTAATTTGGATGTTTCTTGTCACTGTGATATGTTTCAAGGCTTGTTTACGAAGCAATTATAGAGTTGCAAAAACCTGTTGTACGGAATTTTTTCTATGACACTTTTGATCAATACGCCATTTTTTATACTATTTTCTAACGTGCTACGATTACATGGCTACGTTTTTAAGAGCGATATGTCTATAAACTGCTGCTGTGTCAACGTAATTTACCCGTTATTCTATTGCGGCTCGATGGCAAACAATTGGCGTGTTATAACGTGAATAAGAGCCACTTATTGGGCGAAAATAAAACGAAATTTGACCCTTATTTCAATAATGAAAAACTAAGACAACACTGTTTGTAAACTTGCCGTTTACACAGTAAAAATAGCATGACAATTGTTATTTAGAATTGTACCAAAAGCTGACAAACAGCTTCAGGATTTCTTGATCAATACCCCACCCGCTTCAGACCAAGATAACGTTTCTGACTCTCATAGTAAAAAGGAAAAATCATCGTAAGTTACAGGCCAAACCAACCACACATCATAACCTTCAATAACTCCAAAAATTAAAAAACACAACACCAAAAACACCCCTAATTCAGTGAAAACCCTCTTCCTTGAATTCTACCGATCCCGTCTGAATAAACCAACAGTATAAAAACCTGATAAACAAATTCGAACCGTCCAAACAAAGCCTCATAGAAAATTATCAAAATTGAGAAGAAAAAATACGCCGCTTATTTACTGTGGCCGAACCAGCGTCCTGGAATTGTACTTAAGAAGAACATGACAATAATTTTGAACAATTTATTTTTGCACCACCAAAAGCATTCAACTTCATAACATGTTGACATACTTGAGAAAGTCGTCGAATTTGGAAGGAATGGTCAAGGAAACAACATTTTCGCTTATTATATTATACAGAGTGGAGTAGACAAGCTTGTTTTAGAAACATTATGCAAACGAATTTGAAGTACCACCATATTTTTTTGATAACTATGATCAACAGAGGAGACCACGTTAATTTTATAGCAAAAAAAATTAGGTAAAAAACCTTTTTTTTGAATAATTTTTCAAAATGAAAGCAACCAGCTCAAAATTGTCATAGCCCAAAAATCACCCCAATCTCAGACCAGCCAAACCAATCCTTCCAGACAAACCCAAACAAGCCGCTAATTTCGATAATTTCTCAGCATATTTTTCGAATAACAAACCCGACTTTTTTCATAACAAACCCGGCGCGGTTTTTTCGAATCGCACAAAACCCTAAGGATACGACGACACGAGGAAAAGCCCCGAGGCCGGCCTCAGTAAATTCGATTTGAACGTCGTTTCCGAGACGCTTTTCGTTCTTCGCCGTCGGCTTTCAACGGCAATTCAAGTTGGCCAACAATTGTATTCGAGGACAAACAAGCTATCACACCCGCCGAATACCTCCGAAATTGCCACTTCATAACAGAGGGCGATGCGAAGAGTACGGTAGAGGGGTCTTGTGTTGATATTGTGAAAAGGAAAAGCGTGAAGATGATTTTAAAATTGGGAAAACAAGAAAAGTACGTCAAAATTTTAGGCCGAAAATGAGGTTTTGACCAAAAACGACCATCCTTAACATTACTCACAACACGGCCTGCAAAATTTGCAACAACAATTCCATACACTACCTGAAACCCCGTATCAAATCCTATAAAAAAGATCAAAAAGTCACCTCAACATTTTAACCGAGCAGAAAGATATAACAAATTTACTATCACAGGCCAAAAAAATCACAAGTCAACATAACAAGAACCTCACAAGAATCGATTCAAGACATAACCAACCTCAAAACCAAAATATTCTGACCTATTTCAATCCCGAATCCAACAAAATAAGTACGATTTCACAGGCTGGCGACTGAAACTCCGACAATGACATTACTCGTAAGAGCACTTTTCTTCACGTTTCCATGAAAATTCAATTTCCATCGTGAACATATAATCAACCCAGAATGGAGACAACTTCATCACGGAAGTTTTCATTTATTCGGCCGTGAAAGATGATTTTTGGATTTAAAAATGCCTTATGGGTTTACTTTTGCCCTGTACTAGTCCTCTCACTAACTTAGCTCTACCTAGCCGTGTCTTATCTCTTTTGTATTTTTATCATAGCCCTGCTTTTGCCCAGCCCTAGCTTTGTCTTAACTTTGCTAACCTTGCCCTAGCTTTGCTCTATCTTTGCTTTAGCTCTAGTATTCATTACCGTTTTGAAACATTTCTTTAATTTAGGTAACATTATCAAAACTTTTTAAATCTTCCTACCCTTCCAAAAACCCCGTTTAAACATCAATTTTAAGACATTTCCTTGCCTAATTAAAGTGCAAAAATCTTGAAACGGATTTCTTTGTAAATTGGTTTCGGCGGCCCAAAACAAGAAACATTCCCACTGACTTCTGAATCCAAATGCAAATCTCATAAATTTACAACGTTTTGACTAATTATTCTTGATATTAATAGTTGCAACGTCAAAGATTTTATATTTTTGCGAAATTTATTGGATTTTGAGAAAAATGTAAATTTAGATCAAAAGGTTAATATAATTGTTTAAAATAGTCATACGATTAATAATAAACAACATTAAACCATTAAACTTCAGGTTAACTTTCACTAAACTTATAACATCGTATTTTACAAAACCTTAAGTAATTCCAATCAGCACGACAAAGATAAAGCTCAAAAACCCCTATCAGGTTTACTATAATATCCCAAAAACACAGAAAAACTGATTTTCAAATAAAAAACATCAAAAAACATAAAAATATTCATACCAACTAAAAAAACCGACATAAAAACTTACTTGGCATCATTACCAACCAAATCAAACCATCCAACATCAGTCAACTCATCTTTATATACACCATAACGAGCCTGTTTCGAATAAGCCATGAACTTGAGACGAATCGGATAATCTACTTGAAGTTTACCAGTCTTTTCGTTGTCTAAATATTGTTCATTATTTTAAAATGTCAATGAAATCTTAAAAATTTAATCTTAGTTTAAATTTTATGTTTTTCTTGAGGTATGGTTAAGAATTAGGTAAAGGTTGTTAAATTGTATTTTTATACCTGTAAGTCAACTCTAAATTAAAGAAAAAACCCATTTATAAGCTGAATCGTATTTTAGGTAATAAAAAAGCCATTTAGACCAAACAACGCCAAAATGATAAGAAGAATATGAGTTCAATAGTATTTACTGATGTTACTCGCCTTCTTAAACGTTTAACTGCTGTATTTATAAACTAAAACCTTATTAAAATACATGAAAAGCTTCTTCAAGCTATTAAAAAGCATTTTCCATTAAAAATCTTTATAAAAAACACAAAAATCTTCCAGAAAAAACCCCGTCACATAACTACATTAATATAACCAAATCCTTCTTCTTCAACTTTTATCTTCAACCATTTAAATACCTAAAAAGCAAAACAAAAACAATTAACATACCTTTATAATACTTCATGCCGATCTTGTGAACCCGTTCCAATGGCAATCCGAAGATCAATTCCACCGAGTCGGCCGTGATTTCCGGCTGCGCGTCCCCATTTTCGGCCATAGCTACAAGACGGGTTAAAAACCAAAGAATTCACAACAAAAAACGTGGAATTCTCCGATTTCCGGGTAGATTCTTGCAAGCGAAACCAAATTCGTGGATGTGCAACGTTGGAAAACGAAAAAATGCGACGGGACGCCACACGTTTTCTTTTCGCGGCGGGACCAAATGGAGGTAGAGATGTTAGGATGTTTTGTATTTTTGTGGATGTAGAATACTACTGATAGTACTAAATTTGTTTTATTTGTGTTTTACTAGCCTATATTCACCATTTTTTTTATATATTGACTTTGTTTTTTTTATAAATTAAAGTACCAGCTCTGATGTTATAGTAGACGCTTAAATCCCATCAAAACATAAGTAAATCTTCAGATTTAACTAAAAATTCAATTCTTGTAAATCTTCAGACTTTAATTTATGTATTTCACATAATCTTTGGTTGTCTTTTTTGCTAGAAATACGGCATTTTAGGCTTTGAAGTCAAGAAGCGAACGCTTTGCATAAACAATGTAAAGCAGAGTAATTAAACTCAAGCATCTGAATCTGCTTGGCCAAAAATTCTTGTTTTTGGCTTCTTTTTTCTGTATCAAACAAATATTCTTGGTTCTTTGACTTTAAGATGGTTAAATTTAGAGTTATTGTTATATTAACCATGACATTTGCGTCTAAAATTGTGATTTTAGGAGGTTTTTTGATAATTTTAGGTAATATATGCCAATTTTTGTATAGTAATAGTGTTGAAAAGAGTCTCGTATGTCTTCCAGCAAAGCCTTTGCACTTTTATGTTATCTATATTCGATATCGCTCCAGAAAGCTTTGTGTAATCTGTATGTATATGATATGTAAGAGCATTTCGGTCCAGTTAATCCGGCTGTGAAAAAAAGAAGAAAAACTTTTTTTACTTTGAAATGGACCATTCTTTCCCACGTTTTCAAAAAAAAACGTGAAAAACGTTACTAGGATATCGGGAAAGTTCCAGAAATCTAGAGATAATACAAGTTTTGTTGTTTTATGGTTTAGAAACTGTATTTGAAAATTTAAAACAGTCTAATAAAATTTTTTCTTATTTTTTTTTAATTTAAAAATTTTTTTAGTCTTTGGCCCCTGCCCATATTTATAGCCATACTCTCCTCCATACCCATATTTACAACCCTACTTTTTTTACTTGTGTTAGCCCTGCTCTAGTGCACTGTACTAGCTCTATTCCTGTCCTAGCTTTATCCTAGCCGCGGTCTAGTTTTTTCTATCTTTATCCCCGGCCTGGTTTTGCCTTGCCTTTAGCCTTACGCTGGACTTGTTTTAACTTTGTCGTAAGCCTGCACTAGCCCTGTCCCAGTTCTGCTCTAGCTTTACCTAGCTTTGCCTTAGCCCTGCTCTGCCTTAGCCCTGCCCTAGCTTTGCTCTAGCCCTAGTCATGCTCTACCCCTGCTCTAGCCTTGCCCTAGCTCTGCTCTAGCCCTTCCCTAGCCTTGTTCTAGCCCTGCCTTAGCTTTGCCCTAGCCCTGCTTATGTCACACTTTAGCCCTGCAATAGCCTTTTCCTGGTCCTGACCTAGCCTTGCCTTAGGCCTGCCCTAGCCCTGCCTATCATTGCTCTAGCTTTGCCGTAGTTCCGCCCTAGCTCTGCCCTAGCCCTGTTCTATCCTAACATACTTTCACCTGCTCTAGCTACCCTAGCCGTACTTTAGCTTTTCTCTATTCTTACCCTCGGCCTGCTTTTGCCTTACCTTTAGTTTTAACCTAGTAAAACTTTACTCTACCTTAGCTTTGGCTTAACTTTGTCTTATCCTTGTTCTTGCCTTAACTTTGCTTTATTCTTATTTCCACCGTTCTGTGCCATGTTATCTCATCACTCAAACTCAACTCAACCGTACCCAAAACTCAACTTTTAAAAAATTAAATAAGGCTTGGTCTTTTTTGTAATTAAGTTGTAAAAACCCGCCTTATTCCGTGTGTTAATCCACATTTTATTACTTTTTTTCGTCGCAAAAACAACGAAAAAAGTGGGTGCGAGCAAATTTTGCAAACAAAATACAGTGTAATTGGGAGAGGTATTCCGCGCGCTTTCGTTTTATATCACTCTCGGGGTGGTTTTTGTTTTTTCAAGTATCCACGGGAAATGCGGGAATATCCACCCGGGGGTGTTTTATCTATTTTGCTTATGGTTGTACGATTTTGGGGACGGGATGAATCAGGGACGTCGCTACGGTTTTTTTCTCTGGGGGGGGAGGTCAAAAATTTTACCTGTGGACCGATTTTTCAAAAAATTTTTTTTCGTTTTTCCGCGTACAGGTACCACCTGTGGATTTTTTTTCGGATCGGCTCTGCGGGGGGGGAGTCACCCCGAACCACCCCCCCCAAACGACGTCCTTGGGATGAATATTAGGTGCTTTTGATAGTAGTTTTAAAACTACTAGAGTAGACGAGAGTAAGCTAGGGTAGGGTTGGGTAGGGCAGAGTAGAGTAGAATAAAGTAGGGTAGGATAGGGCAGTTTAGGATAGTGTAGATCAGAGTAGGGTAACGCAGGATAGGGTATGGAAGTGTAGAGTTGGGTACGGTAGGGTGTAGTAGAGTAGAGCATGGTAGCGCAGTGAAAATTAGAATAGGGTACGGTAAGGGTAGAGTAGGGTAGGTGAGCGCTGAGTAAAGTACTGTAAGGTAAGGCAGGTCAAGGTGCAGTAGGTTTATTTACATTACTTTTAATTTGAATAGTATAGCTTATGCTAGAGTAGGAACGATACGACATTATAGTGTAGGAAAAGGTAAAATACGGGCTTCTTTTGTCAAGTTTTGATGACTAACACAACTTTCCACCACAATTTCAAAACAAAAATTGTGAAATGCAGTACAATATGCCAAATTGCACCTATTGTGAAATGTTGTTATAAAAACAAGTAAATGTAGGTGGGCTAACAAATCTAACGAGCCGTTTTTCGAGTTCAATTTGATGATTCATCTGGCCATTTTGAGGAGTTTAACTGGGGTGTGGAATCGGATATATAAGGGCTTTACATTAAATTGACAGGTACATGCAAGGTAGAGGAGGGAGGGTAGGGGGGTAGAGTAGGGTATGTTAGAGTTGAGTAGGGTAGGGCATGGTAAGGTGGAGGTAGGGTAGGGATTTTGGCGTAGAGTACAGCAAGATAAAGAGAGTAGGGTAGGGTATTTGAAGTATATTGCTTTAAGGGTTGTCTTTTTTTCTTTATTTTTAACGTTTTTTTTTCGTTGAGAAAGATAGAAGAAAGAGGGGGGGGTGTTATTAGGCACCTTTTTTAAAAAAAAATTTTTATATTATTTTCCTCCTCTCCTTCCCACTATATTTCTTGACCCTTATTTTTTAAAATTAAATTTTAATTTAATAAAGTTTAATTTTGAAATTCATCTTTACAAAGTTTTAAAATCTTACAATCCGATTGCATGTATACATCCATAAGCTTTCAATACGATTAAAAATTCCAAAAAAGTGCAGAAAAGCGGATTTTACGTCAAAAAATTGTGAAAAAAGGCCCCATGAATACCCTCTAATATTTAAAGAGCGAAATTATTAATCCGTGCGTGCTCTCCGGCCCTCCCTCCCCAATTCTTCAATTTCCATTGGGCTTTTTCGAAGGAGCTTTTCATGTTTTTGGGCTGGGAAAACGTGGCGTTTATGAGCAATCTTACTCGGTTTTTGATGAGTGAAGTGCTTCTTGGGACGACAAATATGACATACAGTCCAACCTCGTTAGTGTGACACTTGGAATTGGACCAAAGTATTGTAATTATAAATTTTACTTGTATAGCGTAGAAAATATGTTATTAAACCTTTAATGATTTAAAAAGGGGTGGGAATAGGAGAGCTACTATTGCCCTACTGTTGTTTCTAGTTATAACATCCATAGCTTTTGTTGTGTCCTGTATTAACCTTAGCTGTGCCTTCGCCCCTCACCGGTAGGGGTAAGAGAGCTACCCCTACCCTACGTCTACCTTTAATTTCTTAAACCCCCACCCCTACCCTTACCCCTACCCCTACCACTACTCCAGATCCTACCCTTTTTTGTACCACTATTCCTACCCCTACTGCTAGCCTTAGCCATACCTGCCCCTACTCTTCTTCCGCCCTTACCCCTACTACTCCTACTTTTACCTCTACCACTACCCCCACCCCTCCTGCTACTCCTACCCCTACTTCTACCTTGAACTTTACCCCTACCCATGTTAACACTACTACTCGTACCCCAACGGCTATCCTTTTCCTACTATTACTCCTGCTCCTACCCCCAATTTTACCCCTACTCCAATTATGAAGATCTTAAAATTTTTTTTCAAATTAATTTTTAAAATGCAGGAAAGTAGTTGTAAAGTGCAGAACAAAGAACATGTGTCAGGCCTTCCCAAGTGCAATATAGCTTGTGTGCACTTTTGAAAAGGGATTATACTAAAAGTGCAACAACTTATTGTCATTTGGATCTTGGTAATTTCGTAGTACTCATGACCTTTTTCAAACAAATTGGAATTCCTTGGGGCTGTGAACATGGAAGGTTACTTTTTGATGAAAAATTGGAATGTTTTTACCGTTTTTTAAATGGGGTAAAAGGTCGAATGGCTACGGTAGGGGAGGTCATGATAGGGCTAGAACAGGGCTAAGGGAAGGGTAGGGTTAGACTTGAAATAATTTGTAGTATTGCTGTAGGGTAGGGATGGGTAAGGTAGTGTGGGGTAGTTTAGGGTATAATATTGTATGGTAAGGTAGGAAAGCTCTAGCCTAAACCTTAGCCTAAATCCTAGCTCAAGCCCTAGCCTAAGCCCTAGCCTAAGCCCTAGCCTAAGCCCTAGCCTAAGCCCTAGCCTAAGCCCTAGTCTAAGCCCTAGCCTAAGCCCTAGCCTAAGCCCTAGCCTAAGCCCTAGCCTAAGCCCTAGCCTAAGCCCTAGCCTAAGCCCTAGCCTAAGCCCTAGCCTAAGCCCTAGCCTAAGCCCTAGCCTAAGCCCTAGCCTAAGCCCTAGCCTAAGCCCTAGCCTAAGCC